ATAATAATAATAATAATAATAATAATAATAATAATAATAATAATAATAATAATAATAATAATAATAATAATAATACTAGTAATGGTATTGATTATATTGATGATGGTATTAACTCGTTAATTTCAGGCATTTATACAAACGGCGGATTTGATTTCATTAATTACAACATCAATACTAATAATAATGTTAATAATGTTAATAATAATAATAACATCAACGACGACAACAATATAATAGATAATAATAATAATCTCATCGATGACACTAAATCAGATTTGCAAAATCTATATCTATATCTAAATAACTATGTCAATAATGATAATCCTAATAATTATAACTGTATTAATTACAACAACTCTCAAACGAACATTGACAATGGTTCAGAATTCACATTAGAATCATTGATAGATAATAATCCAGATTTTTATAATAAGCAAAGTGATGGATTCACTATTAATCATCAATATCAATATCAAATTAACAATGGAAATAATAACGATGATGCTTCAGTAATGTTTTCACCAACAAGTATAATAAAATTTTTTGATGATAATGCATATTTAAATTTTTATTTTAATCAGCAGGATTTTGGTGTCTTCAATGACCAATCTACAATATTCAACAATAATAATGCTATTGATGGTAATGATAGCAATGCTAATGTTAGTGTTAATAATAATGATGATGATAATAATAATTATAGAGTATTAAGTAATGGACAAAGTCCAGTTATTATCAATAATAAAGATTTCAACGAAGAAAATTATTGATATAGTTAAACTAGAATGGAGTTAGAAATCCTTTATTATAATTACTATTAATTATATCAAATAGCTGTTAATATTTTTGTAATATTCGTTATCACCATTATCATCATTATTATGATTTATTTGCTATTTATGCTTTTTAATAATAAGTTAATAAAGAGTATGCACTAGAAATGGTTGTTCCAACTAAAGCGAGTGAACCAAAATAGCCAAATCCTCCTCTGTGTCTTTTATCAGGTTCACCAGTGGAATATCCGACAGCATAAGCAATACGGCCTTTTAATTTTTTTGAAAAAAAAAAATAATTAAAATAATAGATAATATTATAATATATATATTATTATCATTCATACCAAGTATCCAAACACCTCCTGCAACAGCAGATATAATTGGATGTTTTAATCCACCAATAGTAAGCCTAAATAACAATAATATATATATAAATAATAATAAATCGTTTTTTAAACAATATATATTAACATATATATTTACGTAAAAAGGAATTGAGGATATTGTTCCAAAGTATTCTGAACAACAAAAAAAAATTTCTATTATTAACAAAGAATTTGATTTATTATTATTGATTGATAAATTAAAATTTTTTTTTTATTTACTTGATGTGCTCGTTGAATACAATTGAAAATAAATTTTTTTTTATCCTTCTCAACTTCTTCTTTTGAAGCATACACTAAAAAAAAAATCACAATTAGTTGATTGTTAAATTGGATTTTTATCAAAACATTATTTTATTATATACACATACTATATGGATATTCTACACCATATGCTTTACGAGCTTTTGTTATTTTCATTCCAAGATATACAGTAAGAACTATAGACGATAATCCAGTTAAAATGACCTAATTTACATATATAGTTTATCATTATCATTATTATTGTTGTTGCTATTATTGGATACTAAATTCTTTGGATTTTACTTACATACCCATATTTACTTGGTATTTCGAATAAAACCATTTTAGATTTTTTTTTATTTGAAAACAAGATTTTTATCTACTATATATATACTATACGTGGGTTGTACAAAAAGTTTTGAGAAAATACAAAAAGTTGAGAAAATACATGTAACTTGAAGATCTTTTCTTTAATAAAAGTAAAAATGGGAATAAAAAACCCTTAAGCCACAATCTTTTAAATAAAAAAAAGTCATTCAAATTGAGTCATTTGTTGTTAAGTTATAAATTTTTAAAGTTTGCCAGTAGAAACAAATAAACATGAATACCAAAGATACTACATTTTTGTTAGCTGGAAAAATAGCAAGCCAGCTAAACAAATTCAACAGGAATTACAGGTTGTTGAGGGGTCTAATGCAGTATCTTTAGCATCTATTTATCATTGGATTGAAGCATTTGAAAGTGGAAAAAATAATGTTG